TAGCCTGCCAAAACTTTCATCACTGCTGTAAGGGCCGGCTGTTCTATCTTCCGATAAATCTCACTCGACAGGTTATTATCTATAGAATAAAAATTTAACTAGCGCATCTTTTATTGTTTTCTATTTCTACATATTTATCTAATAAATACGACTTACACGGTATCGAGAGTGCCGTGTAAGTCGTAATTTATCTTTTGGTTTCTGATCATTTATCAGATAAATAAATTTTACCGGCACGTGGAATAACGCAAATTAGGGTTTTAACCATTAAATTACCCGATACTTTATCTGAAGGTGAAACAACCGGCCCTAGGAGATGGACAAACACTGTAACTACTAAACTATCAATATGCTTAATAGCATTGGAAATGTTGAACGAAAGCAGTGATAGTTTGTCTGAAGAAGAAGAACAAATAGAATTATCACCAATGCAAGCAGTTCGTCCACGTATTAAAAATTATATGGACACAGTTAAGGAATATTCAGATGCGGAGTTTAAAAGCCATTTTCGGTAAGATAAGTGTAAAAAATACTATATTGTATACCTTTATGTGTAATGCTTTAAAAATAAATGTTAACTTGCCTGTGATCGTTTTTATTATGCAAAACATATAGTAACAATCTTACTTGAATATATCACAAGCTATGTAATATAAGGTAAGGTAGTTTAATTACAAGATGTCGCGTATAGTATTTGCATATTTATTAAATATATTAAAACCGCATTTAAAAAAGCAATCTGATAGATATGAACAATGCACATTTCCTCCCGACGTACAACTTTTAGTATCACTATGGACTATGGCAACACCTGATTCATATAGGTAAGTATGTAACTAAACAATACATAAAATACATAAGAATATGTTTATTCTTGTATTAAATGATTTTGTATTGAATCTATAGATTAGTGTGTGATCGATTTAATATTGGACGAGCAACTGCTTGGCGTGTTAATAGAAGAGTCTGTGCAGCGATTTATTCTTTAGCACTCCAATTCATTAAATGGCCAAATGAAGAAGAAGCGGAATATACATAGACGGATATTCAAATCAAACACAAGTTTTCAAAAGTAATCGATGCCATAGACGGTACGTTCGACGGTATGTACACATTCGTATACATAAACCAAAGAAACACGCAGAAAGTTATATAAATCGAAAAGGACATTATTCAATATAGTTGCAAGTAAGTAAAAAGTAGTGTCAAAAAAATAAAAATTCTTGTAAGACTTGTACACAATTAATATTTGTTGAAATGACATAACATACATATTTGTTATAGGTATATGATTCCACTTTGAAATTTATTCATTGTTACGCAAGACAACCCGGATCTCTGCACAATATGTGCGTATTTCGACTAAGTAGTATCCAATCCATATGCACAGAACACTATTGCCCAAGAGATAGTCATCTGATAGCTGATGCTGCGTATGCCGTGCAAAAACATATGATGATACGTTTTAAGAACAATGGTCATTTGACAGAAGCACAAATTAATTTTAATCAACGTCTGTTCGGCTCGTGCAATGATTGAAAGAGCCATTTACTGAAAGGACGGATTCGTAGTGTCTTGGATAAATTATACATGAAACGGACGGATCTCATATCCCAATACATTATTACGTGTTGTGTGCTGCACAATATTTGTATATTACATAATGATCTTATAGATGATAGTGTAAATATAGATGATATTGAAACAGACAATATTCCTATGAGTGCACATAATGAAATAAATGCTTACACTAAAGAAGAAGACATCCAAAAAGAAATACCTTAACATATATGCTGAGCCAGCGAGTGTAAAAAGACATGGTACATATGTTTTAATTAAAACAAATAACTGTATTTACTAAATAAATAAATATATGTATTTATAACAAACTGCGTTTTAATTTCTATATTTTATTTCTTATTATAACATACATTTTATTATAACATCTTTATTTTTTATTATAACGTATTATATTAATTTGCAATATCACATGTCAACAAAATATACTTATGTCTACACATTACAAGTAATAATCACAAGAAAAATATGAATAACGCAAAAATAAACTCAAACAATTGTGAACAAAACACACCATTTACGTATAACTACGTTAAACGTTATAAAATAAAGAACATTATAACTTAAACATAAAATATTAAAGGAACTTTTTTTAAGTTTTACTTTCAGTCTTATTCAGTTTTGGTCATCACATGTAGTAAATAAAAGTTCAACATTAATCTTTTTGTAATGTTTCTGATATCAAGTTTTTAATATCCCTTAATAGATCAATTTTTTCTTTATGTTGCGCATCTCTAACGTAGCCCTAATAACGGAACACTTTTTCAGTACTGCCAGTACTGGCACTGTATATCGGAACACACCTGATTGGACAGAGAGAAAAGGTGCCCAGTGACGTCACGAGTTTGCGACTCTTTTCCTGAGAAGCTTTCTACTCTATGACAGCCCGATACATGCTTATTCGCGGATCTTTGTTAATTAAGATCTCGGTAATTATTGTGAATCTCGCGAAAAGGTATAGAACTTTTCGACACAAAGTTTTACTTTTACGTGCCTACAAGCGATTGTACATCAGTTACCGGACATCCTGTATATTTAGTTTTTTAATAACTACATTAATTATACAGAATCTGAAAAAATTTCTACACAACCACAATATGAAAATAAATTGGATCAATTTGAAAAGAAAAATTATGTACTCTTTTGCAAGTTATCGAGTCAATACTTAATACATGTGATCCAATGAACGTGTGAAAAGCGATAGTCCGAACTATAGACTTGTATTTTCAGTTGTAAAACAATGACTTCATGCAATCTCCAAACAGAGGCAGAACAAACAAGCAAGTGGCGTGTAATATAGCTTAATTCTTGCAATTAACTGATTTTTATAACTGAAAATCATACACGCGCTTGCAGAATCCGAACCATCGCTTCTCATGTACTCATTACACATATAGTAATTAATAATTCAATAATTCAAACTATTGCAAATTTAAAAAAATAGCAAATAATTTTTCTGTTCAGATTGACCCAATCAATCTATCTTCACACATTAGTAGTGTCAAACTCTATATACATATTGAGTTTGCGTATTTGGATCTAAATTTAATTGTCCCAGTGAACTGCTGTCATTATGCGCTTTATTTCTTTACATCATAATCGCGATATCCGTCAACTAAATATGCACTTTTGAACTTTTTTTCAGACACAGTGATAATACCCACACAGACATTCATCCATTCAAACATCCATTAGACATCTATTAGATGTCGCATGGAGCTGTCGACGTTTAATAGACGTCTAATGGAATTTTTGTTCTGTGTAGGTATAATAGCATACGTACTGTTATTACAAAAATCCATTTTTATAATATTTTTTAATGTAATGTCATACGTCTCAGACAAAAAGTTGAAGTATATGTGTAAAATTTAGAAACAATTTTATTATTTGAAAATATGAGATAAGATTATAATACAAAAACTAAGTACAGTCAATTTATGCTTATTTTCGATATTCTAAGGAAATTATCAATAAATTGTAACATAATTTAGTTTTGTAAAATTTTTCATTTTGTGCAGTAAATATACAGATTTTTCAACACATTAATTTACAAGTCCTCTACGTTCTATCTCGGTATTCAATACCTTTTCAAAGTATGCAAATTCGTAACTTTAAAGTATGGAAAATTAAGTTGCGAAGGATCTTGCTATATGTCTGATATCGATTGTTTTATGTACAATGTGATGAAAACGAAGAGCGTCTTCGTTGGCATAGTAACTAGTCAACAATCAGAAATCACTGTACTTGCTTGTTCGAAATACATTTCTTTATATTCTACAGTATCAGTATGTTAGAATAAGAAATCTTCTGATTTATGTGATAATCAGTTAAATTAGAAACTTTTTATTATTTTTCAATCGTATACACTAAAAATTGTAAAACATTTTTTAAATCTAAGTGTATTTTGCCACAATTGTTTTTAATTATTAATCATTATTAATCATTATTGCAATATTTTAAAATATCTTAAGATTTATCTTTGCGTAGGTTTTACAAGTTAGACTTATTCTTATTTATTTACAATGATGGAAATGGAGATGAATGCTGAATTGGACAGTGTAAGTAAATTTCGTTTTTTATATAAAATAACTTTGACATAGTTATATTGTAGAAGAGTTTATATACGTATATATGTGTATACTCAATAATCAAAAAGTAAACTAACATATTTAAACATATTTAAAATGTTATTTTGTAAGTAAATTTTTGTTGTTCACTTTTTTGACTTATATCGATAATGTTTAAATAGATGTTACATACTGTAAATAATTTTGTATTAATATTTTTATAACATGTTTCTAACATTCTAATAATATTTTATAGATATTTTATAGATATAGATACATTGCGTATACATATTGTAGAAATAATAAAAAATAAATTGTTATAAAACGTTGCTATACTATTGCTATAATATTATAGAAACTATCAATTTCAAATTTGTACAATAAGTATTAAAAGTGCTGTATATGTTTTAAATACACATGAAAAAAGTACCAAATATATACTCACATCTGAGTTCTTATAAAAAAAAAAATAAATCTTTCAAATCTAATAGTTTATGTTTCTAACAAATTTTATGTTAAAATGTGCGTGTTAAAACTTAAAGTCAATTCTCTCTATTTATTTCAATATTTGTTGTTACCGCTTCTCTACCTGATGATGAACACTAATTGGTTTTTGACTATTTATGTCTGAGCTTTGACAGTTCAAGATTACGTAGGTATATTTGATATAATTCACGAGTGAAATAATTTCAAAATACATATAAAAATATGTATATGTACTATAAGCTTGATGACTATAAGCGTGTTTAGAAAAATTAAACATAAGACAAGTTAAATTTAAAACAAGTGTAGAGACAATGCCAGCCATTACAAACCAATATGTAGAATGTACGTGTATAAGATGTTTTTTTTTAAATAATTTCTTAAAGTTTATCTACGATCAAGCAATTCGATCCTTATATTCTTCAGATTTTCTTTAGTAGATCTTCAATATCTAAAGTAAAAATAAGAAATATATACGTATATACAGGGTGTCCGACAAATTACTTTAGCATCTTTTGTAGGCAGGTAGAAAGAGTAAAACTGTGTCAAAAAGTCTTGAACCATTTTTTTATTACATGTAATAAAGAAGTGATTATTGAATAAATCAAGCCAATCAGCGCCGACCTTCAGCCAAACGCACGTCAGTGAATCACGCGCCTGGTGTGCGTGAGCGCTCCGCGCGGCTCACAATAACGCTTTTTCTAACACAGAAAACAAGTTGAAAGTCCTGAAAATCAAAAGGAAACTGTTAATGTTTCAAGTTAAATTGTTTTAATAAAAATATATAAAATCTTAACTTCTCAGTAGTAGACATAATGTGAATAAGATTTTCCTGCAATCTACAATAATATGAACACTTTTTAGAAACAGATCTCTTAAAATAAACTCTCAATATCTAAAAAATCTTTTCTAAATCAAAGTTCTATCAATTTTATGTTTAGTAACTAAGTAAACAACTAAGTATTCAGGTTCATACAAGCCACTATGCTAGATATATGTACACAGCGCGTCACTGAATCGCGGAATAGGCGCGGGACCGGAGGGCAAGCGGGGCGGTTGCTCGCCAACAAGCGCTGTTCGAAACGTACGGCCCGCTTGCCCTCCGATCCCCGCGCCTATTCCGCGATTCAGTGACGCGCTGTGTACAATTATATGCATCAAAATTGAATTCATATAATCTATTTACTTTTGAATTTTTTATTTATTTTTTATAAAATATAAAAAATAACAAATACAATTCTGCATATAAATTGATTTTATTAAATATTGGAGTTCAGCAAAACAATTACTGAGTTGTCTTGTCAACACTTTACGTTAATTTGTTGATTTGAAAAGTAAGAAGTAAGAGCTAATTACATTTGATTGCTACAAAGCAGCTTGTTCTGCTGAACGTAGTCAATCTGCTGATTGTTTTAATTTACTTCGATTTTCAATTGTCCATATATTTTAGTGCATATGTATCTACTACACGTAATGTATGTTATGATGAAATAATGATTATAAACAAATTGTTTATATCATACATATCATTTTCTTTCAACACAATAATATAATTGATTAAAACATAATAATTAATAGTTAATGGAACAGACAGAAGACAGTAAAAAATGGTGCAGTACAACAATTATTAAAATTATAGAATTAATTATCACATGTATAACCTATTTGTACAACTTAAAGCAATAAGCAAAAAAAGTTTTCAATTTTAGTTTTTAAAATTATCTGTTAAATATAACACAGAAAATGATAATTATCTCAAACTAGTTTAGTTTAGTTATTTTTTAAAAATTGTAATTACTTACATGTTTTGTTTTAAGATTTTTTATAAATGTTCAAAAAATATATACTCCTATCTAAGTTTCTATCAACTTTAGTTAACATAATCAGTCGATTAACTGTCAATTGCGCTAACTATACTTGATCAATTCATTAAATTGATCAACGCAATTGATCAATTCTAACAAAATATTAATCGAAAAAGTTAATCAAAAACAGGCAATGAGAAACAGGCAACAATATTTTTTTTTAAATAAAAAGTTTGCTTTTTATTTTAGATAGAAATTAAAATCGGATCGTATATGTCAGTAGCACAGAGATATCAATTGAAGATATTTATGTTAAAAAATAATTTGTCTTAACAAAACAATTTTTCTTTCAGGATGATGGAAGTGAAAGCAGTCAATTATCTTCAGAAAGAAGCTCAGCAAGCAGCACATTTTGCAACTTAGAAAAAGATTATGCAAGGGTAAGAGTTATAGTTTTTACTCACGTAAGATATATATATATATATATATATATATATATATATATATAGGTATATGAACGCATTAAAGATTGTTCTTTTTTCTATAACTTTCGAAGAAAATTTTCTGCACATAATCTAATATTTTAACTATTATTATTTAATTTAATAATCTATTATTTAAGAAACTATTATGCAATTAATATATCCTGAAAATCACAAAATTTTAATATAAGAATTATATTTTTTCGTATTATTACTTTTAATTAATTGTTTTAATTATAACAGAGTTTTAAAGTATTGTATACATGTAGAAAATTCTCAGAGTCATAAATCTTCAATTCTCATTGTAATAAATACAATTGTAATTTTACTTTCAAGTCTAGATAATTAGTATTTTGATAAGAGAGTTGTCTGAAATTATAGATTTATCTTATCTGTACAGATAACACATGAGATGAAGTCTAACGAGGCTTTAGCTTGCTTTGAAGCTGAATATGCGAGACTTTACGAATTTTTGTATAAAACTCACAGAAATGAAAAGGAATTATCGGAGCAGTGCAGTATGCTAAAGGTATATGAAGATCACAGGGGAAGAACTCGATAAGTCGATTATTTAAATTTTCTGGTTTTGATGTTATTTGGTAGTTAAAATGGAGTTTTTTAAGTATCCAAAGCGAGAAAGAGAAATTTTTGAGATAGATTCTGAGACATAAACATTCTTATAAAACGTTAACACAGAAATACATATACGTATCAATAAACTTTAAAATCGCTCTTCTCTAAAATTACGAAAATGTGACTTATCAAGTTTTTCTCCTGTGGTTTTCATATGTAATTATATTTGAAACAGATCAAATTGTAGGCAAAAAGTCAAGTCTTATCTATCTTTATTGTTTTTCATCTTCATCAAAAATATATTTAAAATATTTGTTGAATGCTTTTCTAAGGAAGAAATTATGGAGAAAACATACAAAATATATGAATTGACGAAAATGACAAAAAGTCATGAAGACGAGATAATCAAATTAAAAGAAGAAGTTGTAAATATGACAAAGCTGGCTGATGCTGCACATACTCGCGAGCAAAATGCACAGGAAGTAATCGAAAATCTGCGACTTAATATCACAAAATTGAGTCTGGAGATTGATCAAAAGAATAAACAGTTAGCAGCAGAAAAAGAGTGAGTCTTTTTTGTATATAAAACTTTTATTTTTTCTACATCACAAAATTGAATTTCAATATAAAAATACAAAACAGTTTACGTTTAACCCTTCAATATGCCAGACGTGGGTCTCCTAGACCCACCCAAAAGTTTTAAACCGGTGTCTCTACTACGTATAGTTTAGCGCAATATCTGAAGGTCCTGAAAAAACTTTAGAACCTTAGACAACGGTAGAGATCATTGATAACGTCATTGGTTCAATAATATTGCGAATATTTAATTGTAAGGTGCAAAAAGAGTCAGAAAGACCCAAGTCTAGACAAGACATTGGCATTTTAAAAAGTAAATTTTTTTAAATAAAAATATATGTACATTTACAATAATCAATTTATTAGATTACGTGTAGGGTATGCAATGTGCGGCTACCAGAGCTGCCACTCGTAGAATATTCGCAAAAAATTGTCTTTTCTTGAAACGCTTATATATTCGAAACGACTTAAAATTTTTTAATCTGTTTTTTTATCGACGCAGAATCGTTCAACCATTCTATTAAAAAAAGAATATGTCAAAATATTTATTTATTAGAAGAAAAATTAACGCTCGTAATATAAATAGTAAATTGGAGTAAGGTTATCTAAGAGCAAGTTATAGGTGTTGAAAAAATTATCAAAGAACAAATCGTTATATTAACAACTTAAACAAACGTTTCGACTCTTTACTTGAGTCATCTTCAGTGTTTGATATAAAATAAAAAAATATATAAAATAAATATTGAAGATGATTCAAGTAAAGAGTCGAAACGTTTGTTTAAGTTGTTAAAATATAACGATTCGTTCTTTGATAATTATATTTTTCAACACCTTTAACTTGCTCGTCGATGACCTTACTCCAATTTACTATTTATATTTATTTATTGCTACCATATTGCATGTCAAAGTTAAGCGGTAAAAAATGTATTCCTCAAAAACACGTCCCAAAAGTAGGGATACGTATCGGTACTCGATACTTTGTGGTATCGAGTACTTGGCTTTCGGTATCGAATACTTCGATACTCGATATTTTTTATTGAGTATTTTTACCCATATAAGTACTTTGAAAATGAGTACTTACAAATTTTTAGCATTAATACTTTTATGCCTTACTCATTGTGCAGGATTATAAAAATTTGCTTATTTTGATTCCATAGTGATTTAATTTACTGTGACTCTTGCTCTCATTGTTGGTTTTTTTTTTTATTATGTTCGCAGCAGTGACATGACATGACAATTTTGCGCGTCGTCCAGCCAATGTCATTTCATTTCATTTACAAACTGTTTCAAGTAGTGACACAGATAGTGATTCCAATCATTCGGAAAGTCCGGCTAAAACTTACGATTTTTGGAATCACCATAAGGTTCTAGCACATAGTAAACAAAAAAAAGGATCTATCAGACAAAATTTAAAACAAGACGAACTGGCACTATATTTATCAAATCCGATTGCAACACTAAACGGTGATGTATTTAATCTTTGGGAAGAGATGAAAACCGTTTACCCCAATTTGTATAAATTGGCAAGAAAATATCTATTAATTCCCGCAACTTCGGTCCCGGCGGAGCGTCTTTTCTCCAAAGCAGGAATAACAATGAGCAAAACGCGAAATAGATTACTGGGTAAGAGAATGGAAAAAATATTATTTATGAGTGATTGCAATGAGGATGAATGGGTATTGAAATAAAAATATAATTAAGTAAATAATATAATATAAAGTATCATAAGTATAAGCATAAGCATAAATATATTATATAAGCATTAAGAGTTAATTTAAGGATTACAAATTATAACTGTACAAAAAATAATACAAAATGTACAATAAATATCATTAACTAAAGAAGAAAAGTATTAAATTTAAAGAAAGTAAGCATTTTTTTTTTTTTATACCAGCACAGTACAAGTACTCGATACTTTGAGTATCGAGTACTAAGGAACAAGTACCTTTTTGGTATCAAGTACTTCCATTCGATACCAAGTAATGAGTACAGTATCGAATACTTCCATTCGATATCGTATCCCTACCCAAAAGACTCATTGTGAAAATGTTTTTAATTTTATAATTTTTAGAAGACATTTTTATTCCTGAAAGCAGGGACTTATTACCAGTATNATTTCAATACCGGTATTATACTAGAGATTGTATACCGAAACCGATATAGTACCGAAATTGAGTCTTACCGTTACCGTTATAGTACCGAAAAAGAAACCGATATGTACCGAAAACCGTAATAAAATACCGGTATTATTTCGGTATTCCTACTAATGGTATTCTTAAAAATTAGATA